ATCGTCAGTACTGCCACACTCGGCTGTCCCTCCACTGCCTCCAGAACAAAGTCCAGGCTCGAATGTGTCACCACATGAGCAGGGGTCAGAGAAGGCTGTGCTGAGGTCAGGTCCAGTCCAAGGGAGATGTTGGAGATGGAAGGGGCCAGAACATTTAGCATGGACTGGGGCAGGGAAGGCACATTCCAAGCTTCCAAGCAGGTTCCAGGTGGATAGGAATGAGAACAAGACGAGGCTGGGAAATATTTCTTTCTGCTGTGTCCAGAGCAGGGCTGGAGCTGGGGGTCCAGCTTGAACCCAGGAGGTCAAGGCTGCAGTAAGCCATGATCGCAGTACTGCACTCCAGCCTGGGGGACACAGTGAGACCCTGTCTGAAGACAAACAAACAAACAAAAAAACAAAAAACAAAAAAAACCACAGAGGCGGGGTAGGGGGAGTATCCCCAGTTGATGCAAGAGGAGACGACATCAGAGGAATGAAAGGAAACACAGGAACAAACCAGGAGATGGCCTCTGCCAGATGATGGGTGTGGTAAATCAGGGAACTTGGAGGAGGCTGGGGAAGAGGCCCTTTAGCAAGATGGAGCCCAGCCACAGAGCCTCTATCCCTGGAGCCAAAAGCCAGCAAGGCTGCCTTAGAGGAGCCACCTTAAGAGCCACTGAGTGGGTCTCCTGGAAAGACAAGAGTATGCTTCTGCAGCAGAGCCACAGGGCTGTGACCATCAACAGACACAGGAGCAGCTGCAGTTCCCCTGGGGGTGGGCTGGGGCCAGGGCTAGGGCAGGAGCCTCTTTCCAGCTCAACCTCCTATGGAAAGGAGAGCTGAGGGTAGGGAATGAGGTGGGGGTTAATGACGCCTGCCATGGTTTACTGACACCTGCCACATCCTTGGCTGGTCCCCACCACATGGAGCAGACACGCTGACTCACGCACAGTGGTTTCCTGTTGCGCCTCCCATGGTGTCCGGCTCACCCAGGCCCAACTAGGGCGAGATGAGGAAGGCACTTGCCTCCGTGCAAAACTTAAGGAGGTGCCAAAAAACTCAGCAATCAGGATAAAAATAGGCCAGGCACAGTGGCTCACACCTGTAATCCCAGCACTTTGGGAGGCTGAGGCGGGAGGATCGCTTGAACCCAGGAGGTCAAGGCTGCAGTGAGCCATGATCGCAGTATTGCACTCCAACCTGGGTGACACAGTGAGACCGTGTCTCCGAAAGAAAAAAAAAAAAAAGCATCTTGAGTAGCTGCGATTACAGGTGTGTGCCACTACACCTGGCTATTTTTTGTATTTTTAGTAGAGATGGAATTTCACCATGTCAGCTAGGCTGGTCTTGAACTCCTGGCCTCAAGTGAACCACCTTTCTCAGCCTCCAAAAGTGCTGGGATGACAGGCAAGAGCCACTGTACCCAGCCCCAAAAACGTTTGTTAAAGAAGGGGTCTTGCTCTTTCACGCAGGCTGGAGTGTGGTGGTGTGATCATGACTCACTGCAACCTTGACCTCCTGGGCTTCCGCCTCAGCCTCTTGAGTAGCTAGGACCTCAGGTATGTGCCACCGTGCCTGACTACTTGTTTTCTTTTTTTTTTCTTCTTTTTTTTTTGTAGAGATGGGGTCTCCCTAGGTTGCTCAGGCTGGTCTCGAACTCCTGGGCTCCAGCGATCCTCCCGCCTCAGCCTCCCAATGTGCTGGGATTAGGAGCATGAGCTGGCAGCGTCAGAATTTGTAAAGAAAAGATTGCTGCACCTTGCCATATTGAAATCTGAGGCAAGAGGAGAAATCAGTAATACGGAGCCTACCTTTACTTGAAATTTTTGACATGTTACTCTAAATGGATTTTAGGCATTATTTTTGATTTTTTAAAAATATTGCATTAAAACGTGAAAAATGTCCACCTCAGTGATTGAACTGTTGGCATTCCCTTAAGTTTTGTGCTGAGAGTGCATCACCTGCCTTGCCCTAATCTTGGCCCAGGGCTTACAAATGACTCAAAGGTGAAGCTCCAGAAAAGTTAGAGAGAGCACACAGGTGGAGCTCCAGGGAGAAGGGGCATGTGCCCTTTTGGCCTGGCTTTTCCCCCATCATGGTGAGAGCTGTGGTTGGTAGAGGTTGAGAGGAACTGACTCTGTTCTTGATCCTAGCAACTTGTGACATGCACGCCAGGAATGTCATGAGAGGAGCTGGAGCCCTGGAATCACAGAGGCCTGGATTCAAATCCTGGCTCCACCCCTTCTTGCTGACCTTGGGCAAGCTGCCCATCTTCCCTAAGCCTCAGTGTGCAGCAGCCTCCCAGCCTGGGGTGAGCTGACACGAGACCAGAGGTGTACGGCGTGGACCATGGGGCCCGGAATGTGGTGGTGCTATCATCAGAATCATCAACGCGACCGTGGCTGAAGCGTGTGTGTGTGCAATGGCAGGGGACACCATCACAGGCATGGTGTGTACCTCAAAAGAAGCAGGAACTGCTAAGCGCTTGACCTCCCGGAGGAAGGGATGTTTGGACCCGGACTTGAGAAGGAGGAGGCTGTGGAGAGGTGAGACAGGTGTGCAGTGGGGGTGGGACCCTGGGCTGGAGGTTGGTGTGTGGGGACGTGGGACTGTGCAGAAGAGGACAGTGGACAGGGTCCGGCTGAGGGACCCCAGTGTCAGGTGAGGCATTTGAAAGAACAGCAGAAGGCTTCTAAGCCAAGGGGGTGAAAAGCACTTCATGCATTCATTCACTTGTGCGTTCCTACTGTGTGCCAGGCACTATTCAGGTGCTGGGGTGTCCAACAAGAGTCCCCGCCCTGGAGGAGCTTGTCTGTCAGAGGGGAAGGCAGACCATGCGGAAGAGCGAAATGAACAGCATTTTAGATAAGGAGGAAATAAAGCAGGGAAGCAGGTGGGAACCTGGAGAACGAAGGGCCACTGTCTGCTGGAGGGACATTTGCAGGAGGAGGGTGGGTACGGTGCCGGGACAGCTGGGGCTGTGCTCCAGCCCTCAAGGAGATCCTGGCCTGAAGAAGGGTGGCTCACTCCAGTCCTCCTAAGAACAGTGTGGGTCATGGGATGCGGCTCTAGGACATGTTAGCTCAAGTCCTCACCACGGCCTTAGAGCCAGGTACCATGGTTATCCTCACAGGATAGATTAGGAAACTGAGGCCAGATAAGGAATGGGCAAGTCAGGACTTCCTGCTCAGCTCTGCCTGGCTTTATAAAGTCTGGGCTCTTCACTTGGATCCCTCCCTTCTTCCTCCCTTCCTCCTTCCTCCTCCCCTTCTCCTTGGTAGTACTTAGAGACAAACACACCGGACATCAGACTGACTGTGGAGGTGAGGATAGGGAATGCGAAGGGCCTGAAGAGCTACCTGACGTCTCCAGGGTTCAGCCACTGACTAGAGCCCTAGCCCTAGGCCTCACTGCCATGACCACTAGACTTTCCCTTTTTCTTGACCCAAAGCAAGGAGGACTAAACATTCAGGGGGCTGCCCTTTATGTGCCCAGCTCCCTGTCACCCTCTTGGGGCTTCCTGGGGTTGTCAGGTTCTCCAGGGATACAGCACTACCTTGGCTGGTGGCCCCAAGAGCCGCTGAGAGCAAAACTGACTCCGTTCTTGATCCTAGCAACTTGTGACATGCATGCCAGGAATGTCATGAGAGGAGCTGTAATAAGCTATCCGAAGTGATCGTCCCTTGAACGAGAGCCACTGCAGCCAAATTAGTGTGGATGAAAGGCACAGGGTATGGGCACTTCTCGATCTGGGGGAGGAGGGAGGAAAAAAATGATTACCCATAGGTTTTAAGCTTTAATTGATTTGTATTTTTCCAGGCTGGTAAAGAAGATTAAATCATGGTAGGAAAAGCGCCTAGGGCTTAAAATAAATGAGGAGAAAGGCAAGTCATTTCAGAAATGTCCAGGAAGCAAACCAAACCTCTCCAGTGCAAATGGCAGGCATGGCTGTTGTGTACTTTGTTCAGGGGGAGGCAGCTTCCTTTTCTTCCCCAGCTATCTTTACAGTTGGGTTTGACAAGCCTACCAAGGTGTGCACACTTTGAGGAAGCGGTTTGGAGGTGAGGAGGCAACAGTGCTGGCTTTTACATTGGGCACGTCTCTGGGCTGGTGGCTGGTAGAAAAAGGCTTTAGCTGGAGCCTGGATGTGGAGTTCATGCCCTGGCTCTGCCCGATTTAATCAGTGACCCTAGCCAAGATTTCTCCCTTTTCTGGGCCTCAATTTATCCATCTGTCAAACGAGCGAGTTTGGATTAGCCTCTTCTTTAAGAGGCCTTCTGGTTCTAAGGCTGTATGATCAACAACTGATGAGGAAAGAAGCCCAGAAAGGGGAAGTGACTCGCCCAAAGTTACCCAGCCAACCACTCCTCATTGTTCTAATCCTCCAATTTCTCATCTGTAAAATGGGAATGAAGGTGCCTATTTCACAGGGTTGTTGGAACGATTAAATGAAATACTACTACTAATAGTAGCCCCATATATTGTGTGCTTACTGCATGCCAGTTACTCTCCAATCCATTAGCTCCTGAAATCCTTCAGCAGTTCCTGCTTCACAGGCGAGGAAAGTGAGGCACGGAGCAAGTAAAGAGTTTGCCAAGCTCACACAGTAAGAAGTGGAGCCAAGACTGGAATCTGGGGCTGTCTGCACTGACTGTGCCATTTTCCCTCTCCATAAGGTACAGAGACAACAGAGTTTCGCCGAGAGCACAAAGTTAAGAGTTCAACAAACTCTTACAGTTCCTACTGTTAATGGCAACAGAGAAGAGCTAGAGCTCCCTATTCAGTGTTGCGACTAATAAAATATCAAGCTGCCCCGTACCACTGGGAATTCACACGACTCGAAAAGCTCCGTCTCCAGCGCGAACCTTCCCCTCGCCACCCACCCAGACAGCTATGCAGGCCCCTCCATCCTCCGGACCCCTCCATCTTTCCATCCTCCACCCCAGCTTCCAGTTTCTGACCCAGAGGCCGGGATGGGGTCTGAGTGGGCCCACCCACGGTCATCGCTGTTTACCCTTGCTTGTCCTAGAGCGCTCTTCGCTCCACGGAGCACTCAGAAGCTGAAGTCACTCCGTGAGTGTCGGTGTCCCGGAGGGTGGGGGAGGCCCGTCCCAGGTCTTGGGAGGCGAGGGTGGGTGGGGAGGTCGGGCGAGAAGGGGCGGGGCCGCGGGCCTGATTGTTACCGCCGGTGCCATAGCAATCGGGTCACGTGGCGGCTGGGCCAGAGCCGGGGAGCCGGAGGTGGGGTCTACCCGGGCTCGACGCTAGGAGTTGGGCTGAGGATTTCCACCCGATCCTCGAACCTCCGGCCCATCCCATAGACGCCCCTCCCTCTTCAAACACCCTCCCCCACATTTATTCCCGCATCTCTATTTTAAAGATGGGGAAACTGAGGCACAGAGAGCGGGGCCAGGGAGCACTGACAGAACCAGAAACAGGGTCCGCCTCGGAGGGCCGACCTGCCCCCTTCAGGGTTTCGTCGAGGATCTCAGATACGAGGAGGCCCAGCTGGAAGCCACCTGAGGGTGTCCCCCGCTAAGATGCGCAAATGGGGAAAGCGGGGTCGGGGTTGGGGAAAGAACTTGCCCGAGCCGCAGAGCGCGTCAGCCGAAGAGGTCGGGGCGGGGGCGACCCGCGCGACCAA